AAATGCTAAGGTCGCACATCAGAGTTTTTCCCATTCCAGTCACTCTCCCTGAATGACCTACCATTCATCTGCTGATGGCAAATTAGCAACGGGGTTGCCCCCAACAAAGTATGGCGACTACGTGTGACGGGCGGGGTAAATGCTCCAGCACAGCTGCCGCAGAACTTCTCACATAATTAGCTTGGCCGACTTTGAGCGATATCAGGTACAACGGAAATGCTCTAATAGAAGTCGAATTAATACGCCAATTCGAAGCTTTTCCTGGAAGATAGATTCATGCCCACGGCAATAAATCATATGAAAGGGAAGTTAGGCTTCACTTATTATGCAGCAACAGGTAACAAAATGTAGATAAATTGACAAACAAACAATTAAATGGTGGTTAATTGCCTTATTATGGTTATCAGTTATGTTGATATAAAATGACAGCTACAGACAGAGGCCTGATCAAAAAGTGATTCTAACAAAGAACAAAAATCGACACTTAGATAAGCATTTTTGTTCCATGTCCAGGAAAAAATTTGATTACGAACATCGGAAGTTCATCAGCCGTGACTGAAAGTTGCGCGAATCGCCCTGAGGTAAGTACATCAAAATGAACGGCTAAAGAACACTGTTCTAGTGAAGTTAAAATGGACTCATACAATGCTGTGATGACTTATCTGTTGTAATAATAATACATAAATATTGGTGCTGTTCTGTTATGGCAGCGCCAATTGAGGCCTTAATTAGAAGCGTATCCTTTGCTGTTATCTGACGAATGTATAATTATCTGATAGCCTAAATCAAGCGAATTTTAATGGCATATTTTATTCCTCATATTGCTTGTTTTTGACGCCGTACCAACAAAATGAGATTTTGTTTCACACATGAAGATTTCTCGCCTGATAAAAATTTCTCTATAACAAACTTTTAACCCTCTGCAATTGCAGCAAGAAGTGTGGATTTCACACATTTAAAATATCGCTTTTTTCCGCACTCTTTCAGAAACAAAGGTGTTTTTCGATTTTTTCAAGTTGCTTGTGCGCTTAATCATTAGCTCAGATCTAGACAGCTCCAGCGAATACTTACGTTCTAGAGAAAACCTTTCAGTTCGCTTTAACAGTCAAAATAAAAGTATGTTTCACACTTAAGGCGTTTCAACAAGTCTTTTGACGGAGGAGAACATTTCCCTCAGACTTTTGGAAACTATTATATAGTCGAATTCTGCTGATACCAGTGATGTATTTGGTTTTTCGAAAGGACTTCTTAGTCAGCTGTAATAGGTTATGGAGCGCAATGCAGCAGCGGCACCTGGCCAACGCACATTGCCAGTATGTGGATGGGATTTTTGGAATACTGGCCACTGGCTTACGATTCATCTCAGCAAAACCCACATTGATTAGTCATTACAAGTCAAGTGCCTTCAACTGCTTTTGATTCTTGTCGATTTCACTGAATCATGAGCGCTTTCTGGCCTCGTGAACAGTGATCTATGATTTATAGTGAGTTTGTCAATCTTTCAAACACGACCAATTATTTTCAACAAGTCTTTTTTGTGAAAAAGCACATAGACATGTAGAAAATAATCTGGAGCGTCGGAGAGATTTCTGATTTTCACATAAAAATCCGCATGTGATTTATGCAACGGACTGATATTACAGCTGCACACACAGCTAGGCGACTAGAAGTGCTCACTGAGTGTGAAACCCAATATTCTTTCGGTCGTTAATAAGCTCGAGGAAGTCCTTTCCGAAAGTCAAATATACCATCATAATCGGAAAAGTTTTCTCTATCTAACGATTAAAAGTTTGTCACAACAAACTTTTACCCAGCGAGAAATCTTCGAATGATGGACAAAATATCAACTGGTACGGCGCAAAAAATAAGATATTTGGGAAAATAAGCACGCCATTGAAACTCAACTGATTGAGCTATTGATAAACTACAAGAATGTTTTACAAAAGCAAGAAATACTTTTTTACCAAAGGCCTCAAGTGGAGTCGCATTTTTGAACATCCTTTTCTATAATCCTACTGCATTTTTTATCATCATATTCTGTCATAAAAGTCAGATGATGCTGTTTTTAAATGTCTTTATTTTTACTACCAGAACGTATAAGTCAGATTCAATATCAGATAGGCCTAAGGCTAAGACCAAGTGCTACAGAGTCTAGAAAAGATCCGATTTTTGTGACAAAATTGCATGATCTTGGCATAGTTCACTTGTGCATTTTCTCGCAAACATTTTAGTATACAACTTGCTTGTACTTGCTTTATAATGGAGCTCGCTCTAGCTCCATTCCTCTTTTACGCCGTTTCACTAGCACTTCCCCAACACGTCATTGGCGAATGAGTAGCAAGCGAATTTGTTTTCACGACAGCTTTACCTTGAATTCAAGTTTAGGGAAGTTGTATACCAAAATGTTCGCAACATGTGCAAATAGAGCGATACAAGAATTAGGCAATTCGATTACTTGGGTTCATAAACGTGCAAAGTAAATTTCCGGTCAAATGGCATTCGTTGGGACAATTGTCGTCATCTTGAAAGTCCTATAAAATCATCATGTATAATATTTTGTACACAAAACATATAAATCAATAATATTTTTGAGGCACCTTGAAACAGAAGAAAAAAAAACGAATATTTTCATTTTTACTATTGGTACCGTAAACCACAGAAAATCGGCGGAATTATATTTGTACACCTAATAAATGCCTTCGTTGAAGTAGAAAAACTACGCGAAACGAGAAAAAAAATGAAGAACATGGACATGAGTGAGCTATTCAAATTCGAGAAAAAGTGGGATATGCATATTGCGTGCAATCGCGCCGTGTAGACATGAAATAGTGGGTCATACAACGTTTGAATAACAGTAGTTAATTAAAGCTCGAAAATTTTAGTGGTTGGGGGGGGGGGGTGTGGAGGAAAGGTGAAATCATTTGAGAAGTTCTCCATAGGAGAAGATTTAACTCACGCGACAATGAAGGACAGTACATTGAGGCCGAATATTGTGCACTATTAGTTAGAATTATCGGCTTTGAAAATGAAGAAGTCACTGAAAGGTTGGCCGGATGGAGAATTTTATCAATTTTGTGTAAGCTGAAAAATCTGTATAAGCACACTGAACATTTTGTCGGTTTAGAAAATTAGCCCCATGACTATGGCAGTGTGTCGAATTGAGAGAACACTTTCAAAGCACTTTTATAAAGAACAGAAAAACTGGCACGCAGAAAGAAAAAACAATATACTTGAAGTACACGCCTACAATCTACAATGAACATGAGTTCTTATCAAAGAAATAAAGATTTATATGTGCCGAGATGTGTGTGATTTATGGATGCATACATGCCGTATACTGCAGTATTACAAAATAGTAAAAGGATATAGGCGAGAGCATCTTGCATAGAACATCGCGCACAAGGTCGATGATCCAATCTCGCATTCATGGCTCACTAAGCCATCCAACCTTCCGAGGTCGGTAAAATTGGTGCCGGAATTGTTTGGTAGGATAAGTAACATTGCCAGGTTACCACGAGTTATTGCAAAAGCCGAATATGCAATAAATCATCTCAAGCGAAGATGAATAATGAAGACGAGTGCATGGCGCATCCCTCAAAGATTGGCCAACGCCAAGAGTTTTATTTATCCTTCATCCTTTCACGAAGACATCCGACTACCCGACGATTTGTAAAGTTAGTAAAATAATATTTGTAGGCAGGTCCAGTGGCAAATCTGCCGTTTCCGAGTGACAAGGAACATATTTTGCTTAGGAGACACAGTCGAACCACTAAGTATGTGCATCACAAGACCACTGTAACAGCGCTACTAGATGTAATAGCTATATATTTGTCGACAAACGAATAAGAAACACGCCCTCGTTATCTCGTTCTTCTCATTATATATACTTTACGAGTTGTTGAAAATGTTCAGAAGTTCGTCGAGGCACTGAAGCAATGTCGCTATGAATACACCATCGGACGTCATTCATCGGCAACAAAAAAAAACCCACAGTTCTTCATGGAGAAAATTTCCCTCTCACCGAGCAACAAATGATTACGTCATTTCCGAAGGCTGTCACTCGTTAACTTCTTATTGCTTTGACCTTAAAGATGATTGGCAGAAAACAAAATAAGCATAATACCTGCTGCTCTGAAAAAGACTGTGTCACCACAATAAATCGCCCCTTAATCGATGTCATCAGTACGTGAAGCAAACAACAGGCGTGCTCAAAAAGAAACGGAATGAGGTGCGTGGCTAAATGTAATAAAGTAGAAAGGAAATTCTAACTTCATTTCGGCTTTTTTTGCACCATTCTCTGCGCTATTGAATCTGGCAAAACTCGACAACTGAGGAGAAAAACGTCTACAATTTGCAATTTCAAATTTCCTTCAAATTCGCTGAAGTATGCTGTTACTGATCAATCTTATATATGCTGTATTTCAAATTTTGTTTGACTTATATCTACAAACACAGTGACTATAGTTAGGGGTGCGTGTTCTACCTTGGAGCAATGACTTCAACTAATCCTCTGGTTAATTTGCTGTGATGTTTGAAGTTACCATCCATTAGGGTGGTAATGATGCGCGAGATTCAGCCAAACCTTAAGGGTTTGATTTGATGTCTTTTTTTGAATGGATTGTGATTGTTGGATGAGCTATGTTTGACCACAGACTCAAAACAAGAGTTTCAGTGAGCTCTTAAGTCTTTCAGCGCAGGCAGACTTTGCTCATGTTATTGAAATTTGACTAACTATTGCGTGTACAAATAAGACTTTGTCGTCTTTTTTTGCTGTAATAACAGTAAAAATAAAGATATGCAGATTTTTTTCCATTTGTTCAAAAGTGTGTTGGAAACCCCTGTGTACTTATATGTTTTCTAAAAACAGACTAATTTACATGATGGTTATTATAGAACATTTCAACAATGACCAATTAGAAATCATTTTTATTGACCGCCACTTGCGGTGTTATGATGTTTCAATATACCCAATAATGTAGAGGTGCTTATGCAAATACGCTTGCGTCAGCCGGGATTCGAACCCAGATCACTCACTCTTTCCGCGACCGTATGTTATCCGTTGCACCACTGACACTTGTCTGCACTCTTTCTATGCTACGACGCGTCATCTATCAACATCCAACCGTCTACGGCTTCTAACCTGACGGCTTTTGTAACCGAATAACGCCATTATCGGAATATTACATTGCAGATTTATTAACGGATAGTATGTCAAACTACTTGATTTTAGTATCGCTCAATTACGCATTTTCTTGTGAATCTGTGGCGCACAGCTTATCTATTGCTTTGAGATGGAGCTGTCGTGGACACAAATTCGCTTGCTACTCATGCACGAATGGCGCCCAAGGGAAAATGGAAGTGAAGCGGCGCGCAAGATCAATGGAGCTTGAATTGAGCTCCGTCTCAGAGCAAGTATAGGCAACTTGTATACCAAAAGTTCGTAAGAAAATGCATGATTAGGACGCTACCGAGGCCATGCAATTTAATTGCAAAAATCATATTTAAAGACCAAGATGGCACGATGTTGCATGTGTGATCTCGACATCATGTTGCAAAACCGATCGAAAAGGTCTTAGAAGAGCTGAGATTAGAGATTACAGGAGCCCTCACTCGCCTTACTCTCTCGGCATTGCACCATCACACTTCCACTTGGAATTACCGAATTTAAACTACAAATTAACAGATTTTAAAAAATGTTACGCAAGCCACAAAAGTCGTCATATTCAAAATATCATGAAAATCATCATATAAGCTAGTTTGTATAAAAATGTAAATGAAATAACGTTTTTGATTGCACTTTAACACGTGTATATCCTTACCTTTACAAGTATACAGCAAAAAAATGGCGTAGCTATATTTGTATACTTAATACTGTACGGCTGAAAACCTCTCGAGATTATCTACAATTAGTTGATTACTCGTATGCCAACGTGGAAAGTATGGTAGTTTTCATCTCGCAGTTGCCCTTTGCGTGGCTTACTGGTTGCCCCATAACAACATCAAGCCGCTCAATCTTCTTCTCTCAGTCGAATGATTGTTATTCGCTCTTATGGTTTTTATATTTCTCATCGTGTCTTTTTAGGAATTAGACAGTAAATAAAAGTTAAGGAATTGAAATTCAATCAGATTGTGCGTGCTGATCAGTTTCATAAAAAAAGCACAAGCTGTCGACTCCATATAAGAGCTGTATGAGTGATCGAATGCATATTTGCTCATACAATGATTTTGAAAGACCTACTGATCTATCAAACATTTCTATCCTTCTAAATGAGATAGTGAGAATCGTAGGTCACGAAGCGATGGAAGGCTTGGTGTGCTGGAACTGCCTCCAGACAATATAGATTGCAATGATTCTCTAACTACCTGTGCCCTCACTTACCGGTGTCAATTGACAACATCTCAATATTGAAGGAAAAGCTTAAAACTTAGAAACAAGGTAAAATCACTGAAAAAATTAGTTGTGAGGATTTTGAGCAGCTGATTATGGTAGGAGGGGTGATTTGTGGGAAAAAAGAAAACAATCGAGGGAGTAACCATAAGATGAAAAAAGGAAAGCAAAGTGATTTAGAAGAGACTGAAGATTACTGGTAAAAGTAAGCATTACTTGGATTAACCAAACTTGTGATAGAACTTGAGACAACTGAAGAAACGAGACTTTGTAACGCCTTTGCTGAATTTATGAGGCTCCATTGGCGGTGATGTTGTTAATAGATCATTTTTTTTGCATAAACCACAATCCTTTCCATTTGACAGATCCATTAGTAAAACTGCTTTCGAGCTCACGTGTTGGGCTTGTTCACAACCCTTTCCTCGAGGTGGTAAAACAGATGCAAGTGAGTCATGCAACGTGTCGGATTCTTCTAATTGGTTTGCTCACGGAAAGAGTTTGACATCCTGAGTAGCACAAAGAACCAACCCAAGGACTCAAGTAGGCCATGTCGATTTTTGGAACATTTGTCACAAAAATTCGTCGAGCAGCACGCTAAGTGACAATGCGTTTCTCAGTGGTCTCATTTGAATCATTTAGAGAAGAGCAAATGAATGGCTGGTGTCAGTGTTCATGGGAGAGAACCGTTTTCGCTATCTTAATTAAGGCGAGGGAGGCAGGATTCGTGTCGCCAACGAGGGCTTGAAAATTCTTTATGTCAGTAAAGGTGAGATGATGGAGTTTATGATTTAGTAAGTGAAGAAGAGGTAACATCGAGAATGACGAAGACTTGGCATCGATCGGGAGGCGTTTGAGGTGTGAGCGAAAGGTAAAAGGCTTGTGGCTACAGCAAAGCGATCATGACTTTCATCAATAAAGGATCAAGCGTAAAGCTTTTGCGTTGGTTAATCCCTGAGAGATGCGCCATGCAATCATCTTTGAGTTTAACATCGTTTGAGGTGTTCGAATGCACATCTGGCCTTTACAATGACTCGCGGTCGCCTCCCGCTGTATCGAGTCAGTGCTACTTATCCTCCTAGAGTCTGCGACCAATCCGGTACCAATTTATCGACCTCGAACTGATGGATGACTTGGTGAGCCATGAGCGCATGATCAAACCATCAAACCGTGAACCTTGTGTGCCACGCAGAATACCCACATGAGCTCATTTGTACCAACAGAAAAGACAATATCACAAGGAAATAAGAAATTGTTGGAACTACAGTAACAGGGAACTGGATTTCGCCGTTGGCTAAGCAGAGAGCTCACGTTGTCGCCATAGAGATGCACATCACTGTGATCATAATATTTGGATGAAAGAAAAAAAAAAGAATTATTTGCACTAATTTTGATTTATAACAACTCTATCATACGGACCGCTTTAACATCTTCTCTAGATTCTGAATCATTTCACTGACAAACTTCTCCCGTATCAATCTGGAAGAATAAAATATGGGAAGTCAATAATACCTTTGATTTTCTAGGTGAGCTAGTAGTAATAAAGTTATTCTCATAATTTTAAGTGTGTACTGTATTCTAATTTATTCAGTATAGTGATGAATATTTAGGAGTCAAGTCTCCTAACACGAACATATTTTTGACAGAATTTGTTTTTTTCGGAAATTATTTTTCCGTCTCATTCTATCCTATTTTACATGGTCCGACATAAATGCTTGGCGAAATTCGCTTACCATCACCAAGCAGGACTTCGAGGTTAAGTGTAAGTAGAATTCTTATTCGAGAAAACCGACTTTTTACGAATGCCGTTGGATGCTGATTTATAATTGCCCTTTCGGAATAGGTCAACTTTTCTAGGGCGATCCCGCGTCTCCACACTTAAAGGAAGTCACTGTGGCAAGGAAGCCTTCTTCCTAACCTCTTCTTGCGCAATTCAGAGATACAACGGTGTTGTGATGTTTGAATAGACTAACAGGATTCGAATAAGGACTTTGCACTTATGACTCGTTGCCTATGCCAATGTGCTGCTTGCGATCTTGTATTTCACAGTTTTTCGATCGATGTACAAAACATATGGCCGTTTTAACTGGCAAAACAACGATGTGCCGGAAAGCAACTCTTCTCTCATATTGAACTGTAAACGAAAGCCAGCCTTAGACTTTGGAACCCTGTTCGTTAGTTGGTGCAGGAGTGTTCAAATAAAGGTATTCTTTGAACCGACTGTTTCAAATCTTGCTGTAAACATTTGAAACAGTCTGCGAAAATGCTCAGAGTCTTTTAAGGCTGATACGTTAGTGGCTTACGCACGTTTTGATCAGACACGTCTTTCGTATCCCTGCTATAAAGTAGGACCCAGTGTGGGACGTGTGGCCCTGACGAAACCGGCGACACCGCCCAAAAACACGTAAACAGGTGACGTACCGAAACTTGAAAATACTTCAAACATTCTCACAATTTTTACAAGAAATTCCTAATAATTTCTTCAGAACCGGTCAGCATGACACCTATCAAAGAACAATCAAAGAGCGATTCACAACATAGTGGTGACCAATATTTGAGAAAGTTACATGGCTCCGTTTCGCTACCACTCAGGAAAAATTTGATAGCCACAGCAATGAGTTTTGCCCTCATGAAAAGTAGGCATGAGGTCGCTTAAACTGTTCAGCTTTGGCGCAACATTGAGCAAATAACGAGAACAGAACACGGAAGACCATGAGGCATTTGGCGCAGACACGATCTGACCAGCTCAAAAACTTATGGTTCTTTCATTCGTTCAGAATGACTCGTCGTTACGAATACCGTGCAAAGAACAACACTTTTAGCGTTCAACTTGTCACCTCGCATCCATCATTCGTAAAGACCTTAGAACATTTTTAGTGTGAGTTTGGCTGCTGCTGTAATTTAGTCTTCGTTATGAATTTTTTTGAATTATTCTCCTCTGCGTTGCTGCAGTAGAAACATGGAAGTTATTTGGCTATCAAGTTTCTGAGGAGAGACTGTCATCATTAAATAGTGGAATTATCACAAGACTGTTCCATATGAGTTGTTTCGTATAAAAAACACCTGTGTGTCTAAAATCAGTGTTTCAACGATAATTTCACATTTCTAGAAGGAACTTAATCCAGCTGTTATATAACATTTGTCTTGTTTTCAATGTGTTTTCTCCAGTCATTCGATAGATCGAAGGATTCTGGTTTGAATGCTGAACTTGTTTGCCAAAAAACCGTCATAGTACGGTCCCAATACAGAAAGAAGATTACGTTTAATTTCGAATTTTTTTCCTAACTTGACAATGCGGGAGCGACCGTGGCCGAAAGGCTGTGATGATGGTTACAAACGCGCGTGAAGCCGTGCTCCACCCCCCACTTTTCTTCCGCAGTCAACAACAACGTCCTATGGAAAGCCACAGCAAGGCTATCCTCGAAATTGCAAGGAAACTCGCTCAACAAGTATTCTACGCCGTTCAAGAAGAAGACGCGAAACGAATTAAATGCTAGAAGTACTGGAATCCGCACAGTGAAAAAAGAAACAGAAAGAAATACACTGCAACGACGAATCGAATTAAGTGCTTGAGTGCTAAAGTGCTGAAGTGCTAAAGTGCTAAAATGGCTGCCATTTTTCGCTGTTATATAGCAAATCTCCGATTTTGATAAAGCTTAATATTGCGGAGAGATCGTATATCACTGGAG